GATTATCAAGCTGTATGAAGCAATTTCAGGCCAAGTTATAAATTATAAAAAATCAGATGTTGTCTTCAGCAAGAACACTCCTTAATTTTTGCAAGTTCATTTGGCTGCTCGTCTGAAAATGAAAAGGCTGGAGAACCATGACAAGTATATAGGGCTTCCATCAATTTTTGTTCACAAAAAGAAAGAGATTTTTAACTACATCAAGGATAGAGTAAGAGCCAAAACTGAAGGTTGGTCCGAAAAGTTCCTTTCAACAGCCGGAAAAGAAGTGTTAATAAAGTCCGTAGCTCAAGCGATTCCAACCTATGCAATGACATGTTTTAAACTTCCGGACATGTTATGTGATGAGATACACTCAATTCTTGCTAGTTTTTGGTGGGTGACCCAGGCGACAAAAGGAAGATTCACTGGCTAAGATGGGATCTCTTATGCCGTCCCAAAGAATTGGGTGGTATTGGTTTAAAAAACCTGAAACTTTTCAATCTTGCTCTCTTAGGAAAACAAGCCTGGAGGTTGCTCATTAATCCAAACTCTCTCCTCGCTCAGCTCCTGAGGCTAAATGCTTTCCTAACTGCAACTTCATTGATGCGACTCTGGTTCATCGCCATCTTACAGCTGGAGATTCATTATAGAAGGCAGGAATGTGCTCCAATGTGGCTGTAGGCAAAGAATCGATTTTGGTCATACATTGGATATTTTGAAAGATCCATGGTTACCTAGACCTTTTACCTTCAAAATCAACTCTCCCCGGCCCCCAAATCTGGTTGCTACCAAGGTGAATTTCTTCATTGATCCTGATACAAAAAACTGGAAACATGATCTGCTCCAGAACACACTTTGGAAAGAGGAAGCTGGATTAATTGAAAACATCCCTTTGAGCTGGTCATCAGATCGTGACTTAAGGATATGGCATTATACAACACATGGAAGATTCCCCGTCTCTTCAACCTACAAAATGTTCCTCTCCCAACCCAACTACCAACCAAGTACGGCAAATGCTTCATCCATTGACTCCACAGTCCACACTGTCTGCATTATACAAGAAACTATGGTCTCTGGACATCTATCCAAAGTTAAACACTTCATGTGGAGACTGATTAATGACTCTTTAGCTACACATTTCAATCTCCAAAAACAAAATTTGGATGTCAACCCAAACTGTATTCGCTGTGGGCAACAGGAGGATACGAAAATTTTGTTTTTTTCTGTGCTTTCTCAAAGGAGTTCTGGATTAAATCCAACATGTGGAAAAGCCTGAAAAATCAACTGATCAACTCATTACAGGATTTTATCTTCTCCTTCATTGAACGGATGCCCAAAACTGCATTACAGGAGTTCATAATTGGTTGTTATATCTTGTGATACGCCAGAAATCAGCTTCAATTTGTAGACAATCACATCCTGGTTGATGATATCCTCTCCATGAAGGTTTCAATGCTAGAATCTTGGAGGAATGAACGATTTCACAACCGTATAAACTCCCCTCCAATAAGCAGACCTGCAACTTCGTTGGCCAATCTACATGGATTCTCCTTATGGTTCGATAGTGCGATTAACAAAGATGGAAATTGCTCATCTGTCAGAGTTCTAATATGGAACTCTGATGTCGGCTTCATTTGGTGCTTGGCTAAAAGTTTTGTTGGGGGTGCTTCGGCCAAACAAATTTAAAAGAATTGATGTGGACAAAAAATATTTTACTTTTTTTTTTGTGGACAAAACTAGATGTCTCAGATTTGACAAATCCGAGAACCTAATTAAACGGACTCTCAGATTTCCCAAATCCGAAGTAATAAAATACAATAAAAATTATATGTTTTCATTATTTTGAAAAATAAGGAAAATAGGTTCAACAGGTGAACAGTGACCTCGGATTTGATAAATTCGAAAGGTTTTAAAATTTAATATTCCAAAAATACTAAAGAAATGGAGGGCAAATTCAAAATTTAGAACAGTGGTTTCAGATTTGCCAAATCCGACTTCTAGGGTTTAGGATTTAGAGTTAGGATTCAGATTAGCCAAATCCGAGAGCTGTCTTTCAATTGAAGGATAATCCGTCCTTGTGGATAAGGTTGTTGGATGTATTAAATCGGATCGGATAAGGTGCTGAACATTCAGATATGTCAAATCCGAGAGCCCCACATGAATACTGACTCTCGGATTTGCCAAATTCGAAACAACGTGATATAAAAAGAAAAAGTTGGAGCTTCCTTTCATATCAGATTTTTTAATTTTTGAGGGTTAGGGAAGGTTGTGGCCGGAGTTCTTCAGGATTTTGGATGCACATTACCGCTAAATGCAACAAGAATCGTTATTCTACCGAGATTAGTCATTAAATCAAATTTTTTAGTTGTTTTGTTGTGTATTTATATTGTTTTGAAGATGGAAGATTGGTAGGGCTTAGGATTGATGATTGCGAATATAATATGGTAATGTAGATATTGTTGTTAAGTTTATAGGTTAGAATTATTGTTGTTTTAAGAATTGATAGAGGTTAATTTAATTAATTTGGATAGATTTTGTTTGTATGGACAATTGATAGGATTTAAGGATAATTTGTATGGATAATTTAATGAGAAAGGAGTTGTTGTTGTTTATTTTTTTTAGGTGAGAATTGTTGTTTTTGTTTTTTTTGTTTTTTAGGTGAGAATTGTTTTTTTTTTAGATGAGATTTTTTTTTTTAGGTGAGATTACGATTAATATAGTTAACGATTTTTTTGACTCTTAATAAACAGTTAAAATGTCCACGCACGGACTTTACATACTTAATTTGTTTCATAGAAGCAAGTATATGATAGAGAATGGCATAGTGAACACATTTGAGAACAAGCCGGACCACACTCTTATTATATGATGAGTTGGTTTGTTTGATTTGTCTGACGTCCGGTTGGAATCTTGAAATAGCTAGGAAACTCCATATTTCGTTAATATTTCGACTCACGGTGTAAGACTCGCTATGAAGAGAAAGAATGATTCACATGTTGGGATCATCTATCACCTCGAGCCAATGACAAGTGTGGATTTGTACATTGAGACGGAGGATATCACTAACCAAGAAGATGGGAACAATCATTATGGTGGATTGCACAAGATGATCACATGGATGAGGGCGAACAAGATGGTCTAAGGCAAGAACAAGCAAGTAATTCACGGGTTCATGAAGAAGATGGCGGAAGTTTATTTGCACAAGATGATCACATGGATGATAATGATTCCGGCTACGTAGCTCCAAGCGAAAGCTCGCAAGCATGAGATCCTAGTGATGATAATGAAAGTGATGATGAAGAATCGGTGAATGAAGAAATAGAACTAAATCCATTTCTCCAGCGCATGTATATAAGAAAATGGGTGAATGGAATGCGTCGCGTGTTTACAATGATGATTTTGATATAAAAATGTGGGACGAGACTCCCAAAGGGATTGGCATGAAAGTTTGTTTCAAGTCTCAAGGAGAAGCGAGTCAGTCGGGGGTATATAAGGCATTGACCTTCTTCCCCCAAATTCATTTTCAGCCCCCCTCTGATTTTCCCCTACCACCGCCACGGCTCCTCCCTCCTTCACCACGTAAATCCGCAACTCCTGGCCAAATCCACTCCGCCGCTGCCGTTCCCCCATCACCACCAGTCTCCACCACTCCGTCGCCGCCGTTCCCCCATCACCGCCATTCCCATACCACCACCACGCACCACCTCCGTGAACACCACCACCACCTCCGCCAACACCACCACCACTCCTCCACTGCTCCACCGCGGCCGCCGTCATCCTTCCCCCTCTCCACCGCTGCCTCCGGCGTCGTTTCCAATACAAAGATAACATCCTTCCCCCTTTCAGATTTGCCCTAATTTTTGACCCAATTTAATTTTGCCCTTTTTTTTTTGAATTGTTGCTCCTGATAGTATTTGGAATGATTAATATGTTCGGATTTGTTGTTATTGTGCATATTTTATTGATGTAATGGTGATTTTTTTTTGTGCCTCCCTAAATGTTGGAATTGGGTAATCAAAGTGTATTTTTATAGTGTTGTTATTGAAAGTGTTGGAATTGGGTAATCCAAAGGATTATTTCCTCCCTAAATGTTAGAATTGGGTAAATGTTAGATGGTGATTATTTGAGGAAAATGTATAATTACCTCTAAGCATGCATGTAGTTTTTTTTTTTTTTTTTGAAAAAGAACATGCATGTATATTGGATAGTTCAATCACGTGTAGGTTAATATCCTGGTGTTGAGAGTCAATTCTGACCGGCCCGAATGAAATTGCACCTGTCGGACCATGGATCTTTAGCTGGGCCAACAACCGCTCATTGGTCTGGAAATATTCCTGTATGGCTAATTGGGCCAGTTAAAGCCATAACAATGGCTCAAACCCATCTTTAGAAAGGAATATTCTCAGGAAATATTTCCCTCACCTTATCTATATATACCCCATTTTTTGTGGTGGAGAAGAGGCTCATTCTACTCCCTTCTTAGCTCAAATAATTTATTTTTCTCACTCCATATACTAACTTGATCGTCGGAGTGCTAACTCTTATTTTGCAGGTCTCAGGTCTATAGACACTGTTGACTCCTCAATCTATTGGATTCGACCTTCGTCAAATAGCGCCGTCTGTGGGAACGCCAATGTTCTCTGATTAAAGGTGAATTTCGAGTCTCCGTGTCTACGTATCTGGGCCAAACAGGGATTTTGAGCTGCATATGTGAGTTTATTAATCTCACTTGCCTTTGCCGATTTGGGGGGAGTTGTGAGCCGGGATCTTGAATTTCAACAAAAGAGATTCAAGCTTCTTTTGCATCGATCTAGCCATCTAAATTAGTTCGGGCAGCGAAGCCTTCAATATCGAGTCTACAATTCCCAGCTTTCTTTTATGGGAGCAAAAGCTTCCCATTGACCAAAGAAACCAAAGTCGTCTTCGTAGAGTCGTCCAACTAAAATTAAAAAGAAACCAAAGTTGTCTTCGTAAAGTCGACCAACCAAAGTCGACCAAGGAAATTAACGTCCGTCTTCGGCAGGTCGTCCACGACTGGTCCACTTTCTTTCTTGAAAGAGAAGCAAACTTCGGAAGCCAACCTCCAAGCTTAAAGCAGACCCAAACTTCATCTTCAACATCGGTAGTACGATCATGGAATCGTCCACGACCGTCGGATCTTCAGTCACGGCCACGAAGTGGAAGTAGCAGGTTCAACACGAAGATGGTTCGACCCTCTGTCGTAACCTCCGGCAGTAGCTTTTCCAAAGGAGAGCTTTCATCGTCTTCAAAAAATAAAATGAAGCTTAGTATGGTCATCGGCAGCGGTCCGAGTCCGGTTCGAAGCATCTCGTCATTGCCATCCAACCTCAAAGGAGGCGTCTTCATAATCGATCTCCGAACAAAAATGGCCAGCCAACCATGGACGTCGGCAAGGCAGCAGATCCAGCATGACAGTAGCTCCAACATGGCAGCAGCTCCAGCAAGGCAGCAGATGCTTCGACTTCAACTCCGGCGACATAGTTCACGGCATCTGCCGTCGTAAGCAACCAAGAAAGCCGTCGACCGTGAGCTCACTCGGTGTCATGACGTCATTAGCATGAGCAAAGGAAGTTAACGTCGGCAGTAAAACACGCATGGCGGCAGCTCTAGGACGTTCTTCATGCAATCATCCGCAGAAACGGGGGCTTCCCCATCCAAAACTACAATCGGCAAAAGTTTCAAACTCCGGCCTTCCCTCTTTCGTCGGAATCGGGGGAAGGCGCTAGGAAGCTTGTCTTGATCTTTGGTCACGATAGCGGGGGCTTCACGAAGTCAGCAGCAGCAGCGGATCGGTCGACCTTCTTTCTGGGCAAAGAAGCAGCAGTTGACGTTCGTTCAGAAACCGAAGCCAACATCAACTTTAAACAATCTTTACAGAAGCCATCGTAGACCCAACCAGAAGCTTCGTCCTCGGGAACGGAACCATTCGGCGGCGATCGACCTTCGTCCAAAGAAAGTATGACCCCAAAGCCGTTCTTGAAACAGCAAGAGAGCGAAACCCCCAGCATCTGGGGTTTCAGCGTTGTCGACAGGAGCAACGGACAGCGGCGGCGCCTACTTCCCCTCCTTCGTCTGATTCAAAAAGCAGCGGCAGCCAACTCTTGGGTAAACAGTGTTTGCAACAGGTCTCCAAACTCGATCTGGAAGCCACTCGGTCCAGCAACCAATCCAACGCCGCCGTTGTTGGAAGCTTAACCTAAATGTCGACATCACCGGAGTCGGCATGGGCAACGTCCCTTCACGGTGGTCAACCTTCAGCCATCTTTGGTGGCCGATCATCAACCCGAAGCCGTCGTCGGCCTTCGACCACGTCCAAAGTCGCAAGACGAAGAAGAAGTAGGCTGACTGGACATCGGGCGGAAAAAAGCCAGAAATTGCATAAATCTTGAAAAATTTGCAATGAGGTCCCTGTACCTTTGACAAATGCTGATTTGGCTCCAAAAGTTCCAGAATCCACAAATCATCCCCAAAAGTTTCCATAATTTATAAGACGACCCAAAAGTTTACACATGTTATAATCAAACCCCTGATGAAGATTTTGGGGTCCATCTGAGAGCTGTACAAGTCAATTGCAAGGATCTAAAGCATCTTTGAGAGCTCTCCAAGGCTATTGGTAGGCTATAGACCTATGCAACGATAAAGATAAGTCTTCTTAACTATTCAATCACCAATTGATGGTCTATTTTCTTAAATAATTTTATTTAGGGGGAGGATTGGGCATATTTCCTCCTTACTATCATGATGAATTGGTGAACTTGCATAATTCTTTATGTTATGATGAATGCATCTAACATAAGTAAAGCATCGAACATGCCTTTATCAATGGATGGCATAACTAATTTGAGTACACCATTATAGCATGACATGTAGAGAATAGAACTGCAATTAGTCCATGCTTGAATATATGGTACATATACCCGTACCCTCGGAAATATGAGGAAAAGAAAATAAAACTATTTAAGAAAATACATACTTGTTCTTGGTGATATATTTGTACTTGGTGGTTTGAAAAGATAGGTTGTTTTTTTTAAAAAAAAAATTTGGTCATGGGACGATCTACCTTTCACTTTGAAAACCATTTAGAAAATAGATATAATTCCCATTGCAAAATTTGGACGCCATGCAGGGCTTTACGAGTCCGAGGACGAGGGCGAGCCCTTCACTGTCCAAGGGTGAAATACTGTCCGAGGGTGAAGGCTCTCAAGTCCGAGGCCGTCATCTCAGTTCGAGGACGCCGTCTCAGTCCGAGGACGCCCACATGTCCGAGGAGGCCCTCTCAGTCCGAGGACGCCATCTTAGCCCAAGGACGCCCACAAGTCCGAGGCTGTCATCTCAGTCCAAGGACGCTAACATGTCCGAGGATGCCATCTCAGTCCAAGGATGCCTACATGTCTGATGACGCCATCTCAGTCCGAGAATTCCCATATGTCTGAGGATGAAGGCTCATCAGTCCGAAGATGAAGGCTCATCAGTCCGAAGATGAAGGCGCCAAAAAGTCAGCAAAACCTGAAGGACCCCCATGGTCTACGATACTCCTATGGCCCCCATGGCCTTGGAGCTTTTCACAAGTCCGTCTCGACCCCCGTGGCCGACGGCACTGCGTGACCTCCACGGCCTGCGGAACTCCTACGGCATCCGTGGCCTTGGAGCTTTTTACAAGTCCGTCTCGACCCCCGTGGCCGACGGTACTACGTGGCCTCTGCGGCCTGTGGAACTCCTACGGCCCCCGTGGCCCTGGAGCTTTCTACAAGTCCGTCTCGACTCCCGTGGCCGACGGCACTGCGTGGCCTCCACGGCCTGTGGAACTCCTACAGCCCCCGTGGCCTTGGAGCTTTTTACAAGTCCGTCTCGACCCCCGTGGCCAACGGTACTGTGTGACCTCCGCGGTCTGTGGAACTCCTACGGCTCCCGTGCCTTGGAGCTTTTTACAAGTCCGTCTCGACCCCCGTGGCCAACGTCACCATGTGGCCTCCGCGGTCTGTGGAACTCCTACGGCCCCCGTGGCCTTGGAGTTTTTTACAAGTCTGTCTCGACCCCCGTGGCCGATGACACCGTGTGGCCTCCGTGGCTTGTGAAAATCCTACAGCCCCCGTGGCCTTGGAGCCTTTACAAGCCCGTCTCGATCCCCGTGGTCAACGGCACCATCGAACCCCCGCGGTCTACGACACTCCTACAGCCTCCATAGGCCTTGGTACATTTGAACCTGTCTTACCTTCCAGAAGGCACCAGTTCCAGCGCAGATGCTGCTTGACAGCCTAGAGGTGCCAGAAGGTCTATCAAATCCAGTGGACTTTCCCGGGATGATGGTCCAATCCTGCCACACTTAATGACCAAATGAGTGGCATTACACCCCATAAATCAGGGTTAGAAACTCACGTGGCATTGACCCATCTTCGGGCTCCACACTCGTATGGGTTCGGCTTGCTTTCGAGTTGACCGCTCACAAGGTGTCGATTAGGCTTGGAGTTATACACTTCTATAGTTTTGATCTGCCTTTGAGTCAACAACCCCTTACGGCATCAACCATCCTTTGAGTTTCACGTGCAGTAAGCTTTGATTCGCTTATGGGTTACTTACACCCGTCATTTCGATCAGCCTTAGACTCAACCTAACTTTATCCAGGAGAATCTTTTGTCTCCCTCCTTATCAGGGGTCCCCCCTTAGGATGAGTGATGTTACTCTGTGTTGTACCCCAACCTGGGCAATAAGCATCGAGGCTCAGGAGGAGGGGCAAGGAAGTCGAAATAACCCTTTACTTCAAATCCTCTCGAACCCTCTTAATTTCATATTCTCTCGACTCTGGCTCTCTCTCTTGAGAAAGGTACACGCACGTACTTGATCAGTCTAGGGGTCGTGTAAACTCCATCTGGGCCAAGCACGGCCCATAGACGTTAATCACTTATGTAACTCCAATCAATTGATGAGCCAACGTAAGCCCATTGCCGATGGTGCTAAAATGGTACAAAGAACCAAAAGGAGCCTAAAATGGTACTCTTATTCCTCCTATCATTATAGCCTGCAAAAGTACACCGTCGACCCCTGTGGCCGATGGTGCTCCTAGGGTCCCTTGGGCCGTGGAGCTTATTTCAAAACCGTACCAGCCCCCATGGTCGATGACACCTATTGCCCTTCGGGCTTACAGCTTCTTTATCACACTGAAAATCTGGGCAAATTTCGTAAGTCCATGCACAAAAACACGCTTCTAAAACATTTCTGAATATAAAACTCGGGGGAACGAATGTAAACTATCCTCTAAACGTCTAACAAAAGTTTTATATATGTGAAACGAGCATAAAATGTCCAAACAACGTATAAGAAAACGAAGTAAATAAATGAAAGGAAATAAAAGGTACAAAAGAATGTTAGTCTAGCACTTCCTACAAATAAACTCGCCTTGGTGCTATTCGGACAAAACTTCGTTATGCTTCGGTGTTCTGTTGTTATCTTTCTTATCAAAGCGTGACTTCTCCTCAGGAGTTTCTATATAATATTACTCAGCTCCGACAACCAATGTCATGCTAATTCTTCTGGCTTAGTCCATTATGACGCAGGTTAATACGGGAGTCCGTTTATCGATTCGTCCAAAGTTTAGGATAAGGGTCCTCCCGTTTACCTGCGCTTGCAAACATTTTTCTATCTTTGAACATGACAGGGGCAACTTGTTGGTTTGCCCAACCTTCTTGGCGTTTCGACCATACCCTTCGGCATGTCACAAGCCGTTGGGGTTCACGTCTTGCTCGTGGCACATTCGTGTCACCTTCGGCCTTCATTGAGCGATCATTGTTGGTCTTTGCCACTTGACGGCTTAACCAGCATCAGCTTATTCTAAAGTAAACTTTTAATTTCTCATTGGTCGTCTTCGGATGATGATAACCTAACCCTGTCCGATGGTCCATCATGATTTACTTTTCTTTGGCTCTACCTATCAGAGGCAGGTTCGCTAATTACTTGAAGCTTCGGGCCTCTCTTGTGTCCACGGGTGACCTTGGACATCCTTACTGTGTTATCCTACCTATCAGGTGCTTGTTATATCCCTCCGTTAGTACTTAGTCAGTGATTTCCCTCGGCCTACCATGTGCCGACACGGGTTGTAATTAACTTACGCTACGTCCATAAAAACCTTTTGACCTTCCTTAAGCCATCATCATTAGCTTTAGCTACTCGGCTGCTTCAACAACCTCGGCTTATTTCCAGCGAGCTTTTGGCTCCTCGGACGTTCGTCCTCGTCCATTGACATTCAGAAAATGTTCTTCGATCTGTCTCGAGTCACTTTACACTATGTGTCTCGGGTTCAGACAAAAAATTGGGTTACCCTCGAACTCGAACTTTTCCTGACCTACCCGTTATTGATCGATCGTGTAGCGGTTATGATCTTTGGCCTATCAGACCTCAATGAGGTCTATCCACGCTGTTATTTTAACCTATCACGTGTCGTCACAAGCCTTGACGTTACCTCTTCCAGAAGAATTCTTCGTCACCTTCTCTCTCTTTTTTTGACCTCTT